GAAGAATTTTACAGAACATAGGAATATTGTATGGAGAATTATACAGAACATACGAATATTGTATGGAGAATTATACAGAAATTTTACAGGAAGTATAGACCAAATAGAGAATATTTTAACACAAATAATGCGTGGAGAAGTTTACAGAAAGTAGGGATGATGTAAGGAGGATGTTAGCTGGTACTCATACATTACATACAAAGTCAAAACATGATAATATGTTGTTTGCCCATAACTGCGTATATATACATACTGGAAAGATGAATACGTTAACTTTCCAAATGTGTCATGTGCTCATAGCTGGTAGATATCCATACTGTAAGATTATATATTATTAAAAAGCAAATCCATTATCTACCCTTACCTAATAGTTAGGCATATTGTAAAGTTACTTTTATCAACATTTTGATCTGATCTCAACGCTTAACTATTATAAATATACTGTAAATCATGCAAAAAATGTGATGCTCACCAAATATTAATACTTGACAGGTCTACATGTGTACAGGTCTTAATCTGTTGTATATTATATTATATTCTATATATCAGAGAATAGGTCTTTATGTCTTGTTTATTATGTTATCCTGTATATACGAGTGTACAGGTCTTAATCTGTTGTATATTATATATCAGAGAATAGGCCTTTATGTCTTGTCTATTATGTTATCCTGTATATACGAGTGTACAGGTCTTCATCTGTTCTCTATTACATTATCCTGAACATATGTATATATCAGTGTAAAGGTCTTCAGCTGATGTCTGTTATGTTACTCTGTATATATAAGTGTACAGGTCTTCATCAGTTGTATGTTATATTATCCTGTATATATCAGTGTAAAGGTCTTCAGCTGTTGTCTGTTATGTTACTCCGTATATATAAGTGTACAGGTCTTCATCAGTTGTATGTTATATTATCCTGTATATATCAGTGTACAGGTCTTCAGCTGCTGTCTGTTATGTTACTCCGTATATATATATAAGTGTACAGGTCTTCATCAGTTGTATGTTATATTATCCTATGTATATCAGTGTACAGGTCTTCAGCTGCTGTCTGTTATGTTACTCCATATATATAAGTGTACAGGTCTTCATCTGTTGACTACCATATTGTTCTGTATTCCATATATATCAGTGTACAGGTCTTAATCTGTTGTCTATTACATTATCCTGTAGAAATTAGAGTACAGGTCTTCAGCTGCTGTCTGTTATGTTACTCCATATATATATATATAAGTGTACAGGTCTTCATGAGTTGTATGTTATATTATCCTGTATATATCAGTGTACAGGTTTTCATCAGTTGTATGTTATATTATCCTGTATATATCAGTGTACAGGTCTTCAGCTGCTGTCTGTTATGTTACTCCTTATATATATATCAGTGTACAGGTCTTCATCAGTTGTATGTTATATTATCCCGTATATATCAGTGTACAGGTCTTCAGCTGCTGTCTGTTATGTTACTCCGTATATATAAGTGTACAGGTCTTCATCAGTTGTATGTTATATTATCCTGTATATATCAGTGTAAAGGTCTTCAGCTGATGTCTGTTATGTTACTCCGTATATATATATAAGTGTACAGGTCTTCATCAGTTGTATGTTATATTATCCTATGTATATCAGTGTACAGGTCTTCAGCTGCTGTCTGTTATGTTACTCCATATATATAAGTGTACAGGTCTTCATCAGTTGTATGTTATATTATCCTGTATATATCAGTGTACAGGTCTTCAGCTGCTGTCTGTTATGTTACTCCGTATATATATAAGTGTACAGGTCTTCATCAGTTGTATGTTATATTATCCTGTATATATCAGTGTACAGGTCTTCAGCTGCTGTCTGTCTGTTATGTTACTCCGTATATACAAGTGTACAGGTCTTCATCAGTTGTATGTTATATTATCCTGTATATATCAGTGTAAAGGTCTTCAGCTGCTGTCTATTATGTTACTCCGTATATATACAAGTGTACAGGTCTTCATCAGTTGTATGTTATATTATCCTGTATATATCAGTGTACAGGTCTTCAGCTGCTGTCTATTGCATTACTCTGAATATATCAGTATACAGATCTTCATCTGTTGACTACCATATTGTTCTGTATTCCATATATATCAGTGTACAGGTCTTAATCTGTTGTCTATTACATTATCCTGTAGAAATTAGAGTACAGGTCTTCAGCTGCTGTCTGTTATGTTACTCCATATATATATATAAGTGTACAGGTCTTCATGAGTTGGCTATTGCATTATTTTGTATCCTGTATATAACACTGTACTGGTCTTCATCTGTTGTCTGTTACATTATTCCATATATATCCAACACTTGATAATTATTAATAAAACATTCTAACACTTTTAAGTAACTGAAAACTTTACTTACATCCAAATGGATTTGTACTTTTAAAAGTAATATCTAATGGAAAATTCCAAACAAATAGTTGCCTTTCATCTTGACTCTTTTTTGTAACTTGAGAAATTCCTTCCTCTATTCCCTGTGTAAAAATTAAAACAAGATGAGTAAAGTATTAAAAGCATCCTTTTCCACTACTTCCTTGCATAGTTAGGATTAGTAATAAACAAATTAAAGTGTGTATATTACCAATACTATTTAACAAAAACAAAATATATAATGTCAGCAATCAATATACAAGGAAACAAATATCTATAATTATTGAAATGCATTGTATAATCAGTTGTGTGTTAACAAAATAAATTGATTAGGTGATATGTAAACTACATGACATACCGAATATGCATACATCCACAAAAATACAATACATCAAACAAAACTATATTCATGCTAAATATCTGCCCTTTCCTGTGAAAACTTACTTACAAGGAACCACTTTTAGAATTTATTTTCTAAAAATTCATGAAATGTCAGTACTTACACATGTCACAACCCAATCTTGTCCATGAACAAAACAAAACTTGCAATAAATATCATCAAAGTCTGGAAACTGAAAGTACATTTTAAATACAGACGATCAGATAATTTTCTTAAACTTGTACAAAAAAACTAAAATATAGAGAAAGATTATAAAACAAAAACATTCCTTAACTTTTATTACATTTCAGTGACTTCTGATTATTAATTCTGCTAACTAAAAAACAAAAAATCCAAACAGACTATAATATTCAATTCTTTCCTATATAATAAACATGTATACAAACCTATTACATAATCTTGAAATTCAAACATACAATAACTATCTTACATGTTATATAAATTGTTAATACTCTTTTGAAGTAGAGATTTACTGACTGGTCCATAAAACTAGAAATTATTTTACCAATACGTGTATAAGATCACATATAGTGACTATTCAATGTTGCTCATAAAAACTTCAGAGTAAAGATCTACAAAAAAAGGTTAAAAGGTGAACAAAGCTAACCTCTGCACTCTCAATCTGTCCAGCAACCATCAACATAAAAACTGAATGTGGTTCCATAGTGACCAGGAAATAGTAGTGCCATTCTTCATTATATTCTTTTCATTTCTGAATGAAATCAACAACATTCAAATGTATTTTAGCTAATGATCTCACAACTTCTCTAAAAAAACTATGGGTTTTTTATATATCTTCTATAACAAACTAAATATGAACAGTTCTCACCAATAAACTTTTGTAATACTTGTAATAAATTAGTGTGCTCAAAACATCACAACCACTTCTTGTATCTGCTACAAAAATTATGGATTCAATTACTCCCTAAACATATTACACAAAAACTATGGATTACATCTTGAATATCTGCTACAAAAATTATGGATTCTTTAGGGAGTAATTCATATTACACAAAAACTATGGATTACATCTTGAATATCTGCTACAAAAATTATGGATTGGATTACTCACTGAACATATTACACAAAAACTATGGATTACATCTTGAATATCTGCTACAAAATTATGGATTCAATTACTCCCTAAACATATTCTACAAAAACTATAAATTACTTCTTGAACATCTATTCTTTAAGTACCCTAAAAAAACCTACACACTCCATATCAAAACTATTAAGTCTGCGATTATGAAGTTTGAGTCTTTTGTGATCAATAACTGTCAGGATATCTTTACTTGAGACTTCTGCCCTACAACACAGTCTTGTTCTGTCAATTATGCATGGTGTAATCCCATATGGATGGACATGTGCCTGACCTCATGATGATAGTAATTATATACCATCAAACAATTTTACTGGCTCACACCAAGAATGTACAATCTCTTACAGTATCAGCAATCTTAGTACGTAATAATAATACAATAAATTACTCAGAGCTTGAATGGAATAGTGTGAGACTTGTAATAATCAAATAAATAATCCATAACCAAGTATATAGTCTGGTTGAATTATCCAGAGAGGACACTGAAACTGGGATTAGTAGATTGTTGAGAGTAGATAATGCCAACATGGCTAAAAAGTTTATTTTATATGTGCAGATGTGATAAATACATGTTGGCAACTTTGTTTATGAATTTATCCTAATATTGTAGTGAAGAGAAACTATACCCCTAAACAGAAAAATTGTATCTGTTTTTACAATCCAGAATACTTATACGTAACAAGACCGATTTTACAAAGACCTATACATATCCACTTATCCCCTTATATTTGTGATATTGGTTCATTGTTAGTCAACAAGAAAAATTACCTGGGGGTCTTCCCACAAAAAACGTTATGAAACTGATGTTATGTTGTTGAAAGAAGAATTGAAAAGTTGCCATGTCTTCAAAACAACATCACCAAGTCTGATAAACATATTTAGTGGTGATGTTGCAACAGATGATATCGCTGAGGGCCTTCTTAATGCACCAGCAATGGGGAAGGAATGATATAATTCATTCCTTATTGATAGACTAACGGAGAAGAGGACGAGTTTCCCCAAGGTAAAAAGGAAGATAGTTGAGTCTCTCAATGACATGAGAGTTACAACAGGAAAGCAAAAAACCGTACAAGGCTGATCAAGACTTGTTGTGTCAATGGAGTCAGGACGGGACATCAATCTGGATAATTTATTGCAAAATGAGCTCAGTCCAGTGCCTTTATCATTGGCAAACACAGATGGAAGCTTGAGATCTAGAAACAAATCACAGCTAGCACAACTTTTAGAGGATGGAAATATTGAAACAGCCTTGCTAGAATCGAATATGCTAAAATGCACAATCATAGATGGGAAGGCTCTTGTTTATGCCTTAGGAAACCAAATGGGCTGAAAACCTTTGGAGTTGACAGGCATGATTACAGCAGCTATCATAACCAACTTCAAAGGAAATTGTACTCGAGTTGATATTGTGTTTGATCAATATAATCCAAAGTCTATCAAATCTGGAACTTGGACAAAAAGTTTTAAAGGCCCTTGACCTGCAAGACAACTGGTTGAGGACAGCTGCTCTAAACTGCCTGATAACTGGCAAAACTTCATGGCTCTTGATGAAACCAAGAGATAGCTAGGTGACTTCTTATGAAAATAACTCACCAAAATCAATTGCAAACAAGGCAATGACTTGATTGTCAGTTGGTGATTTACTGATTGCAAGAAGGTAGTTTCATCAGATTCTTAACATCATGTGACCAGTATCAGTGCAAGTCATGAAGAAGGGGCACAAAGGTCATTCTTCATGCACAGGAAGCTGCAGCATGTGGGAACCAGAGAATTGTTGTTACTGCCAGCCTATTGTGCTATTGTTAGCATTCTATGATGACATTGCCTCTCAAGAAATTTGGATGAAAAGTTGCACCAATCAAAAAACCCAAGTTTGTTGCTGTACACAATATTGTTTTGCCACACAATGTGAGGAGGAACTTATTACAGTTTCGTGCACTTACAGGATCCAATGGCACATCACAGTTTTCAGCCATTGGAAAAAGATCAGCTTGGAAAGTTTTTTGCATGGACAATAATGCTCAATTAATTACAGGATCTTGATGCAGAACATCTGAGCAGTCCAGAAGCCATATCCAGTGCCAAAGCATTTGTTTGCAGGTTGTACAAACCAACAATCTTCATCACTAGCATACAGACTCTAAGATCTGCAATGTTTAGAACATTTAAAAAGGTATTGGAATCATTACCTCCAACCCAGGATTCACTGATGCTGCAAATATACACCGTGTTCATTACCAGGTCTTTTTATGGCATAACGCAAATGTACCTCGGATTAACCTGCCTACTCCTCTGCTTAGCGGTTGGAAAGAGCAAAGTGATACACCAGTCAAGAAGCTGTTCCTGCAAACTATCTGCAATTAACAACTTGTGGATGCATGCAAGCTGAACAACAATGCATAAATCGACAGTTTATGTGCACAAGGGCTGGCTTACAATGTATCTCTGCTTGTGCACACTACATTGACTCAGTTGAGGACTGGTGCCAGAACCCAAACAACCAAGTTGACTTTCAAGTTAATCTTGATGAAAACCAAAATGTTACCCATAACCAAATGTCTAAGTACAGATTCTAACTATATTCATCATAAGTTCATACATACTTATTTGTATACTGTCCAGAATATTTGTATATTATAAAGGCAAGAGATAATTGCAACTGTGTAGTTTCTGTTTTTTTATACATACATCAATGGATACACACCAAAATGAGTGTTTATGTTATTTTATGGACTAAAACAGTTTGCTTTTACATGCCTGATCAAATTATGTACATATATATTAACCTAATTTTTTGATTTATTGACACAAAGGGGCCCCTCATACATGGAGCTTAAACAAGTAGCAAAATCATTTTATAACGATGCCAATATCAATTTTCTTTATCTAGAGATGATGACCTATCTGTTGGCTATAGGTGGTCAGTCTTTTATCTGTTGACTATAGGTGGTCAATATTTTATCTGTTGGCTATAGGTAGTCAGTCTTCTATCTGTTGGCTATAGGTGGTCAATCTTTTATCTGTTAGCTATAGGTAGTCAGTCTTCTATCTGTTGACTACAGGTGGTCAATCTTTTATCTGTTGGCTATAGGTGGTTAATCTTTTATCTGTTGGCTATAGGTGGTCAATATTTTATCTGTTGACTATAGATGGTCAATATTTTATCTGTTGACTATAGATGGTCAATATTTTATCTGTTGACTATAGGTGGTCAGACTTCTACCTGTCGACTATTTTTTTTTGTTATGTGGAAGGTATTTACCAAATAATCCAAATATTTTCTTTAAAGAAATAAATATAACCAATTTTTCTCTTAATAAAGAATAAAACACAATCACTGGACAGTAGACCTATGGGCAAATAGGGACACAGTTCTCTCACCACTCTAGGTTAGGAAAATATTAAAGTTTTTCTAAATAACTACCAAGGTAGGAAGGAAGTAGACCTTCGTCTTACTTTCAGTTTTAATAGAAATGATAAAATTATTGCTTCTAACTTCTTATTCTATATACCCACGAACCCAAATGAGGAAACTCGTTTACTACCACAAACAATTTTGTTTAAGACTTTGACAATATGTCTAGTGGAAACAAATTGTCCACATACATATACTATAGTACTAGTAAATGTGAGATTTCAGTCGTGAAATTTATGCTAATAATAATTAAAATAGTAGTAGTACTAGTTGTAAAACTTCATGGCATCAGTCTCGACCCTCTCGTGTACAGTACATATAGTTTCATTTAAAAACATGAAAAAATCAATAAATTGTAATTTTATCTCATCCCTCAAATTTTACGCTACAACGGCCTCTCACCTCTAAGTTAAAGTATAACTGTATAAATAACTGTAGCTTAACATGTCGAGAAACAATTTTTCAAAATTACACAGAATACTTCTGACAAAAATTGTGCTACGAAATAGAGCGTCCTCTTACGGTATACATTAGTAATTGGTGAGAAGTATAATAATAATGAAGAAAACATGTAAATTTATCGATTAGCATTATTTTTAGTTTCACAAATCAAAAATAAATGAAACAATGTACTAGCAATTAATATAGCATAAAAAGTGGTAATAAGATTTTTTTAATTATAATAAATAATTAAAAACAACGTTTTATATTTATACACAAAAAATTTATTGAAGCCGTACGGCTTTCACTTTAAAATAGAAATATCACTCTACACGTACGTGTTTCGACGTGATCTACGTCATCCTCAGGAGTAACTTTCAAGACTATTTTATACTTTCCCCTTGTCGCATTACTTCATTGTTATTTGCATATTTCCTTAGTGTAATTGAAAAAAAAAAAAAGAATATATCTCGCCATATATCTATGTATTGACTTGCTGGTCCTTTATCTCGACTTCATACTGGTGAACAAAAAAAAGAAATCATGGAAAATTGTTAAGTCATAACCAAAGCAGACATAGGAAGTGATCATAGAATGGTGAGAACAATAATTAAGATGGGTAATGAAGAA